TTGTTGTAGTTCTTTGAAATATGCCATTGGTATCTTGATAGGAATTGTGTTGATCCATAGATTGCTTTGGGCAGTGTAGACATTTTAATTGTGTTAATTCGTCCTATCCATGAATTTCCACTTATTTATATCTTCTTCATTTTCCTTTTTTTTTTTTTTCGTTTCTCTTTGTTAATGCTCACCCGAGAATATTTTTTCCATTGCTTTTTCAGAGAAACTGGGAGGGAGGAAGGGAGGGAGAATGAGTGGGGGGGAGAAGGAAAGAGAGGGGGGGGAAAGAGAGAGAGAGAAACAGACATGAGAGAGGCACATCAATCAGTTGCCTCCAGCATGCACCCTGACCCAGTCTAGGGATTGAAGCTGCAACTCAGGTATGTGCCCTTACCGAGGAATCAGACCCATGACCCTAGGTGTGCAGTATAGCGCTCTAACCACTGACCCACAGCAGCCAGGACTTCAATTTCCTTCTTCGGTGTCTTATAATTTTCTGAGTACTGGTCTTTTACATCCTTGTTTAAATTCTTTTTAGGTATTTTATTTTTTATGTAATTGTAAATGAGATTGTTTTCATAGTTCACTATTGCTGTATGAAAATGCAACTGCTTGATGGATATTTATTTTATATCCTGCTACTGAACTGAATTCATTTGTCAGTTCTAGTAGTGTTTTGGTGGAATCTTTTGGGTTCTCTGTATTGTGTCATCTATAAATAATGACAGTTTTACTTCTTCCTTTCCAATCCGATGCTTTTTATTTATTCTTATTTTCTAATTGCTGTGACCATGGCTTCCAGTACTGTGTTGAATATGAGTGGTGAAAGCAGACATCCCTATCCTGTTCTCGATCTTAAGGGAAATGCTTTAGGTTTCTGCCCATTGAGTATGATGTTGGCTGTGTGCTTGTCACAGATGGCCTTTATTATGTTGCGGTATGACCCCTCTATTCCCACTTTGTTGAGAGTTTTTATCATAAATGGGCGCTGGATTTTCTCCAGTGCTTTGTCTGCATCTACTGATATGCTCTTGTAATTTTTATTCTTAATGTTGGTTATATGTTGTATCACATTTATTGGCTTGCAGATATTATAAAAACCTTTCATTCCCAGAACAAATCCCACTTGATCATGGTGTATGATCTTTTAAATATATTGCATATTACCCTTTTATTGGGGTGACATTGGTTAATAAAATTGTATGGGTAAATCAATAAAATATATTTTTTAAAAAATTGTATGGGTTACAGGTGTACACTTCTATAATGCATCATCTGTATATTGTACTGTGTGTTTACCACCCCAAGTCAAGTCTCCTTCCATCACCATTTGCCCCCCTTTCACAGCCTTCTACCACCTTCCACCCCCATTCTCCTTTGGACCCAATCTGTCTTTAGCATGTCCCTACTAAGTTAGGTTTTGTCTCAAGTATGCAAATAGATGTCCATAGAGAGGCTTGTCAGGCCCCCAATAAATAGTTCAGGCTCCACCTATGGTCTCATTTTCATGGCTGGGTTCTTTTTCTTTCTTTCTATTTATTTATTTAAGTTTATTGGGGTGACATTGGTTAATAATGTCAATGTAAGAACTTTCAAACCTGTAGAGAATTTTGATGAATTTTATTTGAGCTGTTAACATAAGAAAACATTCAAACCTATAAAGAATTTTGTGAGTTTATTTGAGCCAAACTTGTCAACAATTGCCAGGAAGCAGAATCTCAACAGATTGAGATAGTGCTCCAGAGAATGGCAGCTTTTCATCTATTTTTATACATTAGAATCAAAGGAGGGTTACATGAAATCCAGTGGTGATAGATTAGGGAGAAGGAGAAAGCAAAGGGGGTGGGGAATCTCTGGGATTGGATAAAAAGTAAAATGATAGACATATACTTTTCTCACATAGGTGGGTACAGGATAGTTAACAACCAACAATGAACAAGATAACAGTAACAGCGAGGGAATCTGTAGTCTTCATCCTGGAGCCCTGGTGCATTGGTTGTGCCCTGAGGAATCTGGAAAAAGGGAAGTTACAAGTTATCCAGAGAGTCCAATGATATGTTATCATAGATGCAGGAGACAACAGACAGGCTTAGTTAAGGTAAAGATTGACTTTTGTCAGGGAAGAATCTAGCATAGGACATGACTACCTGCCATAAACTACGTTTAGTTAAAAAGTTTTAATTTCAGACCATCCCTTGTTGTTGGAAGCTATCCATTGTCTTCACTATCAGAAAAGTGTAAACAAGGAGCCCAGAATGCTGGTGAACCTTGAGCTCTGGCAAGGGTCAAAGCTATGCACCGATTGTTTAATCAAGACAATGGTGGCTCAAGCAATTTCCTGACCAAATAGTCTCAAAGTAGATCTTTACTAATATTTACTGACCTTTAAGATAGTCTGTCTGTTACCAGAATTGCCTGCCTAAGGGCAATACGTGTATCCAAAATTGAATAAAAGATTGGCAGGGCCTGGGCACCAGTGAGGTCCTTCTCCTAGCATTGGACTCCGCCTGGCCCCCAATTTCCAAATTATTATTTCTTGTCTCGTCTTGTCATTTGCCTGTGGCCCTTCTCTAGCTCCCGAACCCTAAGCCACACGGGACGTGGCATCTCACACCTTGTGGTTACTTTAGGTCTCTAGAGTTTGCAAGGCCACCATGCAGGCCTTTCCTGGGTTAGTCAGGTTAGCATGTGGCTCCTTTATGTATGCAGAGCCTGTGTGTGTGTGTGTGTGTGTGTGTGACTATGAATATGTGTGTAAGCGAGTCTGAAGCTGTGTATATGCCTGTGTGTGTGACTGTGTGTGTCAATGTGTTGGGATGATTGTGTCGTTGTGTGTGTGAATGTATGAATGTGTGACTGAATATGTGAATGTGTGCATAAGTGTGTATGAAGGTGAGTACGTGTGTGCATGTGTGTGTAACTATGAAGCAAAATCTCAACGGATTGAGAAAATGCTCCAACAAATGGCAGTTTGCAGTTTATTTTATACAAATCAAAGAAGGAATTGTAAGAGGGGTATTACATGAAATTCATTGGCGGTAGATTAGGGAGGCAGGAGAAAGCAAAGCAGGAAATCTCAGATTGGATAAAGAGCAAGGCAGAAAGACACATACTTTTCTTTTTCTTTTTTTAAAATATTTTTATTGATTTCAGAGAGAAAGGGAGAGGGAGAGAGAGATAGAAACATCAATTATGAGTGAGAATCATTGATCCACTGACTCCTGCATGAC